TTTCTGGCGAAAATCCAAATTGTTCTTTGCTTTTCTTCGCTTTATTTATAAAAGTAGAATGTCTTGGATGCCACTGTGTAAATCTTCGTTACCCAAATCATCTGGATAGGATTCGGCAAGTTGCTGACATTTTTCTTTAATTTCGACGAGTTTATCATTGTACGAGTCTTTGGCTAGTTCTATAATTTGTTCATAATCACAAAGAAAACCAAAACATCGGTCGGAGTAAGCGATCCAATCATGCTGCATCGTTTACCTTACTCGCTTACCAATGTCTACCATATCCCGCTGGGAACAAATACTTTTATTTCTCCAAATTTTCAAAAATGGTATTTAAAAATTGTGTCAAAAGTGTACAAGATGTAGGGCGAAAATAGGTTTTTCTATGGCTTTTAATAAGATGTCTTGTAAATTTACTATCAATTTCTTCAAAAATCGTATTGTGAGAATTTGGGAACTTCAGAATTTGCGTGGCTTCTAGTTCCTAAATTTTATATACTTAATATGGAAGATATTTAGTAAAAATTCATTCTGTTCGAACCACCTCATGAAACTTGTAGGTAGGTAGATGAAGGATGTCGGCAGAACATCCAACATCCTTGGCCCGGGCGCCAGTTGGTGAATAATAGTACGAACGCTCTTGAGACACTTTTGTAATGCTGATATTGAAATGCAAAAAGGGTAAGACCTAGTCAGCCTTAAAGGATAATTTACTAAATGCAGTTAGTTAATATAAGATACAAAGTCATATTTCTCAAAGTCGGTTATTTTCAAACGCTGGATAAGAATGGTCTTTCTCCTCGTAATAGTTTTATCTCATCTAATACAAATCGATTCTTAAAGGATTGTTCTATACAATGTAAATATATTTATGAGGGTTATGTAAAACCACATAAGCTTAGAACCTGCTTTATGAGGCGTTGTAGTCTTTGAGTTCAACCACCAACACTTGCTCTGCAACAAGGTCCAGGCCTACATTTCGAAAAGCTTTTCGTATCTAATCGAAGGCAGCGCAGTCGACTTCGTACAAATTTTGTTATGTTTAACAGATAGAACGTTAATTGTATGAACATCAAAAGGTCGCAACCCTATTTGGAAGATACATGCTTAGATGTCGTCAATCGCTTCTACACAGCATTTCTCCTTTTCTTCCACTCAACATCTCTTTTATAATTGCAATTTAACAGTTGTGTGGTAAACTTTTTGCCATATTCATGTGGCGGCCAACAAATTCTCTTATTACAGTTATGAACTCGCATATATTGGCTACCACTAATTTCATAATTGCAAACGGAAGTGTAGGTGTACTACAAATATTTGTTTGTGCATTTATTCCACAAAATAACAATAAAGTTTTAGCATAGCAGACGCAGAAAAAACATGCGGTCTAGTGGTCCTGTGGCTTTATGGTAATATGTAGTTTGCATGAAATTGCCGCATGTATCCACAGCATGCAACCTCAACAGCATTGCTATACTCCAATCTAACTACCGTTTATCCCCACTCTCTGGGCCATGTCCTGAGTGTGTGCTAACAAATTGCCATCGCATGCCGCAGCGGCATTTACAGCCACTCTCGCTCAGCACTCCGCATACGTTCGGTTGGATGTGCGTTGAAACTTTACTTTACGACTGCTCAACAAGCCTGGAATGCAATCGTTTGCATAGCACACATACTATTAGCTGAAATACGTTATTTTTCGCACAGGACCACTAGAGACCCAGGACTAACCTTTATAAATATATATGTATATGTGTACAAGACCTGTACAAACGTTTGTTAAGATAAATTGTCAGATGTGAAAGTTTTCCATACAAGAACTTGATTCCGATCGGTCAGTTTGTATGGCAGCTATATGTTTAGTGGTATGAGTGACTTATATCGGGTGATTTTTTTGAGGTTAGGATTTTCATGCATTAGTATTTGACAGATCACGTGGGATATCAGACATGGTGTCAAAGAGAAAGATGCTCAGTAT